TGGCAATGTCTTGTTTATCTTGCTCAGCTGAAAGGATAGGCATTCATCTGACTGCAACACAGTGACTCTTACTGAGGAAGGGGTGGGGAGATTGAGATCAGCCATATATAGGAGAGTTGGATAGGTAGTAAATCTGTCACTTTACATTTAACCATCTCCTCAACTTTTTGAAGTCATTTTTGTCAGTGCTGGTCTTTGGAGCCTGTTACCATGTCTGCACTTCAGCAGCGTTTTCAGATACTGCTCTGAATGTTGCTAGATATGAAATTTTTATTACCAAACACTTGGTCTAACACTTTTTAACTTTTCAAGTAGCATTAATAATGAATCTATCTAATCATGGGATTTTGAATGACTGTCCATTACAACAGCATTTGAGTGCCTTCCACATAAAATAAAGTTACTGTACGGACCCTGGTGGACTCCATGGCACCTCTGTCACGTCTTCCTCTCCAGGGTCATGAGAACTATTTTGTTGATCAGTACTTTAGCAGAAATGCATTAATACTTTTCCATTTATGGTCTCTGTGCAAATTCATTAATCAAGGGATTAATCAAGCCTGTGTTAAACAGGAAGTCAAACAAGAGGAACACAATAGTCCCTCCTGGCTTTATATGCTATGATTTTATTAATTCTTCAAAATGTTTTTATTTCATAAAATATTTTGTGCCTCAGAACAAGCACTTTCATTTAGGAATATGTAATTGTGAGGTCAACTGTAAAGGCTTATATCATTCCCAAAAATCTAATTATTCATTTGAAGCCTCCTGCCTTCTCAAACCGTATTTGTGTTTGAAAAGTTTGTCCTCGGAACAGCCTGTTCTTTTTCTTTTCAGTAAAAATATACATAATCTTTAAAAATTCTCTTACAACCTTCCCTTAGAAACTTATTACTTTTATATTTCTAAGAAATAAAGAGATTAAAATGCAGGCAATCTATTTCCTAAGGTTTATTTCTTCTGCACAAAGTATGGAAATAAAGTGTTTTTGAAGCAAGCAATCAAAGATGGAAGAATACTTTTAATTAATAGACCAAATGCTAACATTTCAAGTTTTATTCAAAAGTACACACTTCTGGTTTTATTAAAGACTCTACATAATTAGTTCTAAATATGGAGAAACTTTATGCTGTAGATATCTTTCCTCCGTTGATGTGGACATAGATCTTGAATTACAATGTAATTCTCTGATTTCAGTAATAGTTTGGGTAAATGTTTTTCACTCAGTTGAGCAAGCACATTTATCTGAACTTATAGGCCCTGTCTCATGAGAGGGAATATGTGGTTTACAGTGCCTCAAAGCCTTTTGAAGTGCCACAAAATGCACGTGGCACAGGTTAATCTGTTTGCTGCACTGCAAAATTAGATACTGGGAAATCCGGTATTTAAAAAAAGCATGCCAAAAAGAAGTGGCATGGTGCACATGGCAGCAGTGTGTGCTGCCCAAAACCAGAGCCTGTCGGGCCAAAGCCACACTCCAGCTATTGGTCAGGTTCTGCCCACCTAGATCAACACCGCTGGAGACCCAGGAGACCCTAAAACCCCAGGTAAGGCTTCTGGAGCCAGTAAAGGTGCTCACCTCAGCCTCCCCTACCCCACCCAGGGCAATTTTCCATACACCTGTGGAACAGGAGGTGTTGTCCTCTTCTTTAGATCCCTGAGTATATTTTAGCAATACTTGCAGCAGCAGGATATTACAGTGCCCTTGTTCCCCTGCTTTACCTGTGGCAGGTTAGGGTGTTTTTGGGCAACATACCTTGTAGTTGTGTGACAGGGTTGTTGTGTAGTTTTAGGAACAGGTTAGACAAGTATTTGGTTAGGGATGAGCATGGGATTGGACCTCCTCAGGTCCTTCCAGATCTACTTTTCCATGCTTCTATAAGGTGGTTATGGAGCTATCTTCATAGAGGGAAAGAATTATCCTAACCACAGATAGGCAGAATTACTTCCAGATAAGAAATAATCTTCATGATTATGGAGACTGGGAGGTTTGCTGCTCTAGGAGGCACTGCAATAGCAAAGAACAGAATTCCTATAATGTTTCATTATGACCAGGATCCTGGAACAATAATGTCAGTGAGAGGTTTGCTACAAGCTTCAGGTTATTCAGGCAGAAGATACTATTGGGATCATCTAATTTGACCCCTTTGTCCAAAATTGTCTTGGAGCATTCCTGGTAAGGAAAATCTAAAACAATCAGGAATATTTAGTCTGAAGAAGAGAAGATTGGGAGTGGGAGGTGGATTTGATAAGTCTTTACATTCCTGAAAGCTGGTTATACCAAGCTTGGCGATGGACTATTCTGTGTTTGCAGGGGACAGGATAAGGAACAGTTGTTTTAAATTGCAGCAAAGGAAATTTAACTTGGATATTTGGAAGAATTTTTCTCATTGTGAAAGTAGTTAAGCATTGGAACAGGCTACCTGGAGAAGTTCTGCAATCCTTGGAAGTTTTTAAAAGCAAGTTAGACAAGCACTTATCTGGGATGTTTTAGATAGAAATAATCCTGCCTTGAGGAGGGGGTTAGACTAGATGACCTCCTGAGGTTACTTACTTTTCAGCCTTACTTTTCTGATTTTATAACAACCTCTAGAACCTCATCCAGTTATTTTCATATCTATCCCATTTCAATGGGAGCAAGATCTATATATTCTTTTAGTTGCTATTAGTTGCTCCTAGACCCAAAAGCCCAGATATGCTGCATTATTCCAAAATATTATAAATTACAAATGAAACATAAATTACTTCCTAGAACTTGAAGGAAATGCTTAGAAATTTTCATGTTGAATTTCTATTAGGTTTCTATAGTGGGTGTAGCCTTCTCTGACACAGCGGTAACATGCTTGCACCAGTTTTTGTTCATGAACTAAGTCATAATAGGATTCAAAATAGGAGTGATTATCTAATGTTTCTTAAAAGTGAAAATTTCTCTCAATTTATATACTTAGAAGGAAACTTTGATTAGGTGTCTTAGACAACACAACAAGTGAGGTCCTCTGAAATTATTAAATGGTTGTTTTAATGTTTGTGTTAGGTTTTATTTCATACATACAGGGTGCATCTACACAAAATGTTTACTGCAGAGCTGACTAATTAGTTCCACAGTAAATGTCTCAGCATGCACACGTGAAGCCCTATTAGGCTGCAGTAAACTCATAAATTCCCCTGTAGGATAGTACTTGTAAACACAAGTATTATCCTGTTGTAGAGAAGGTTTTTTAGGTAAATGTGATATCTTTTATTAGACCAGCTGAAAAGGTGGAAAAAGTGTTCTTTGCAAGCTTTTGGGCATTAACACTCTTCTTCAGGCATAGGGAAAGTTTGCTGTGGTGTTTGTGTGCTCTCCTGGGTGGAATAGAAGCCAATATGTAGGTCTGTGAAAATCCAAATGCTTGGCAGTCAGGATGAGAGTGGATGGGAGATAATACATAGGAGACAAGTAGGTGGGGTGGGGAGAGGGGGAAGGGGAAGGGGAGGGGGAGAGGGAGGAATTTTGACCTGATGAGAGAATGTAGCTAATAAAATGTAGAGAGGTTACCTGGGGTTAATGGATTGGAGGCAGGTTATAATGTGCCATAAATCTAATGTCTATATTTAGCCCACAATGTTTTTGTATCCAGTAGGTTGATGAAGTGAAGTTTGTAGACTCGTCTACAGAAGGTGTTTTGTAAATTCCCTTTAAGGATTAGAACTGAGAAATTGGAGAAAGAGTGGCTGCCTTGTGTGAAGTGTGCACCCACAGGTAATTGGGTATTTTTGTCTTTGATAGATTTTCAGTTCACTCTGATACACAGTTGTTGTTTGGTTTCTCCTACAAATTTTCCATCAGGGCACTTAGTGTACTGGATGAGATATATTATATTAGTGGAGGTGCAGGTGTAAGATCCAAGAATGGTGATGGTTCTGTCATGGGGTGTAGTAATTATGGGAGTGGTGGAGATGCACTGGCAGGTTTTACATTTCTTGTCCTCGTATGTTCTGGATCCATTTGGTGTGCTTTGGGCCATAGGAAATTTGCTTCTGGTGATAAGGTTGGTGAGGCTCAGTTATCCTGCACTGGCATTGTTTAGTGTGCCTCAGTTTATGTGCAGATGCTGACAGGGCTGGCCGGGGCACAGGGGTGCTTCAATGCAGGGGCTGCCTCAGTCCCCAGCCAGGCCCTCTGCAGCAAGTTGAGCTGGGTCAGAGCAGCTCCAGGTGGCAGACTGACCCCAGGCACCCACCCTGCTAGCTGGGGCTGTTCTGATCTGGCTTAACATGCTGCTGTCCCAGGTGCACATACAAATGCCGTGACTGGGAGCAATAAATGCCGGCATGAACTGCACTGGAGTTTATTGTGTCACACCAATATCATGTTTAGGTGCACCCACATAGTATTTTAAGACTTGTATTTTAAGGTGTGTTACCTAGAGGAGTCAAGAATGAGGAAGTTTGAAGCTTTGATTTCATTCAATTCCAGTTGCTTATAAACTTTTTTTTTTTTAACAGATATATTGTCCCTTAGACTGCACAAAATATTTTCAGCAACAGTCCATTTTACTGAGGGCAAAAACTTGCCTTAATGTTTAGTCTGCTGTATTGTATTATATTATGTGCATAAAATATACCCTGAGCACACCTACTCTTTTTGAGCATAATGCATTTAAATCTAGGATTTCTCTAATTATGGTTCAGTGAAAACTATGAACTTTTTAAAACTGGACCTTGAAATTCTGAGCCACTCAAAATACCTGCTGATTTTCATGAAAAGCCATAACCAGAGTCTTAGCACCTCTTCTGTAGACAGAGAACTCTGCTTTTTCTGGTGTTAACCTAGCACATTTCTTGAGTACTAAGATAATTAAAATAAACTCTTTCCATGGAAATGTTGACACTACAGTTCTAAAGATGGGTTGTCATATCAAAAGTGATGAAACTGTGTATATAGATTGGTAAGCGTACAATTCTCTTGGAATACCAAGGCATTGATTCTGGCCTCTCTCTCTCTCAACAGGCACAGGAAAGAGGAGCAACGATAGTTTTTAAGTTACTTTTGGGCTGTAGAAACTAAAACAATTAACACCAGCATGGACTAGAAAAACCCCCCAGGGACTGTGCTAACACACAGAGCTGTCTACAGACTGTACTGCAATCTAAGCTCTATATGATACTGCAGACTCTGGCCATCTCCCTTCCCTTCCCACCTTTCCAGCCCTAAAACTAGTTGTGAGGCTGGCTTCAATAGTCCTGAAGGCTCCTTCTGGTCCTAGGTTTCTATGTTCTTGGGATGGGCAAATTATCCTTCAACCTATTCCATCGCTCTATGCCACAGCAAATAGCGAGCAGGGCAGGGATGAGGATAAGCCTCCTTACTTATCCATGTGTCTACAAAAAATACATAGATAATATAAAAGGTATCATAAATACAGTCAGAGCTTTATCCCTTAAGCGTCTTTCTTTTCAGATTTTCTTCCTGTTCTTATTCTTCCATTTTTCAACTGAGAAGTAAAGCCCTGAAGTTCTTTAACGTTCAAAACATCATGGCAATTGTGGGCTAAGACTTTTTTATTATGTTAGCAAGAACATCAAATTCATAGACAAATATTTCTACCATAATTCTACTTTGACAGGTCCATTATGCTTTTTGTCCATTTGAAGATCCAGTTCTGCAACTTGGTTTCAAAGCCCCCTGAGCATTTCCAGTTTGAGTTTTGCCTTCAGTCTACATGGTTTATCTTAATTTACCAAGAAGATAAAACTGCAGTTTGGATAGCAAATGCACTAAGAGTGAATAATATAAAATGACAGTTGACCTACTGTTTAATATTACACCTTCAAAGTGGTCCATATGTTAAACATGATTTTATAAATTCAAGTCAAAACCAAAACTCATCTCCACCACTGCTTCTAGTACTTGCCCGTTCTCTGCTTTTTAACCGTAATATGTCTATGATACTGCGAGCATATATGTCACGCAGATTAACATTGAGATTTGAGTCACTGGATGTGTTCTTTGTGAGTTTCTTCAAAGCCTCACGTTGTCGAAGAGCAGCTTCCTTTATCTTTAGTGTAAAGTAACAGGCAGAAAAACGGTCATTTATTATAGCTATTGGTAAAGCCAAGACTAATATTCCTGATAATATGCACATAAAGGCCACTACCTTGCCAATGGTAGTGTCTGGTCTAATATCACCATAGCCAACAGTTGTCATAGAAGTTGTTGCCCACCACCATGCACAGGGAACACTTGTGAAAGTTGTGCCAGGGATAGCCTGTTCAACAAAGTACTCTATGGTGGAAAATATAGATATTCCCACAGAGAGAAAAAGCAGCAGTAGTCCAACTTCTTCATAGCACTGTGCAATAGTCATTCCAAGAGATCTCAGGCCTGGAACAGAAGAAATACCATAAGTCCATGCAACTTTCTTCATTTCTTTGTTAAACAGCAGTTGATTAAAAAGCTAGTTACCTTGTATTTACTTTATACTTTGACCACTAGTAGTTTTATGAGAAGGCAAGGCTGTTTTGAGCTCTGCTGGGAAAACATGATCATCCAGTGTGATCTGAACAACACAGACCATAGGATCTCCCTGAATTTATTCTTATTCAAACTACTAAACATTCTTCAAAAAAGTACCTAAGCTTCACCAAAAAAATTGCTAGTGACAGAAATTCCACCATTACTCATGTTAAATCATTCAGGGCTTAATTATTCTCATCATTGAATATATGTACTATACTTTAAAGTATGAATATATCTTCAACTTCTACCTGTTAGATCTTGTAGCACCTTTCCTGCTGGGCAGAAGATCCCTCTATTTTCAATCACCATTCCCCAAGTATATATCTGTTCACCTCTTCAAACTTCTCTTTAAGCTAAACATATTTTGTTCCTGAACTCTAAGGCATGTTTCCCATCCTTTAATCATTCTCAGGGCTCTTTTCTGAATCTTCAATTTAGCAACAACCTTCCTGAATTATGGACATTGGAATGAACACAGATTTTTGGCAGGCATTGCAACAGTGCTCAATATTCTCCTGCGTAATGCAATGAAGAATCGCATTAGCTCTTTTGGCTGCAGTGTTGTACTGGGAGTATATGCTCTGCTGCTTGTGCAGAATTGCTGCTTCCAGGATATTGTGTCAGACAAAGAAAGAGTGGAAAAGCAAATACAAGTGAGAAGGAATAAACCCCAGACAAACACAAATTTATAGGAAATATGTGTCCACAAAACAGGACATTCTGTACATTAAAGACTCAAATTATCCTTCTGATCACAGACACTTTCTGGAAAGTGTTTCTAAATTATCCCAATAAAGTATATCAATGGAGTTCTAGTCATAGAAAAATGAAAAATAGGGCTGGAAGAGACCTCAAGAGGTGAATCTAGTTCAACCTTCTTGCTGAAGGCAGGATCATCCCTATCTAAATAATCCTAGACAGGTGTTTCACTCACTTTATCCTAAAAGCTGCCAACAAAATGCATTATACACCCTCTCTAGGAAATGTCTTTCAATGCTTAACTACCCTCAAAACGAGGAAGTTTTTCCTAATATCCAACCTAAATTTGCCTTGTTGCGGTTAAAACCATTATTTCTTATTTCAGTGTAGGAAGGGAAGGAATAGTAGAACAGGAACAGTCTCCAGATCAGCCTTTACAGGCCCAGACCTGACAACTCTTAGCTTCCAAGGACGTTAACTTCATTCATCATCTCGCAGAATTGAGGTGGATGAGTAACCCCTTTCACTGAGACCCAGAATGGAGGTGTTGCAAAAAACAATGCACTGTCAGTACTGTTTCATGCAAAAGCATTAATTTATCCTTTACTGGCCAGGATTTGGCCCATGTAGTAAATACTTAAAATGAACTGGATGCTGCTCTATCATCTACAGATAAACAGGAAAGTAATAAGTAGGAGTAAGATGTTTATTTTTACCTCAGTGTTTGACATTGCTGAGACCATTTGTGTCTACTGTTCCAATGATCTTCACTATTTAAAAAACTGCGCCTTATTTCTTGGCTGAATTTGTCTACAAAACAATTCTGTTGGAAAATTGTAGAGGGTGAGAAAAGGGCCATGCATTAGATTCAAACACTGGAACAGTGCATTGTATCAAGAGATTTTAAGAACTCAATCTGTTTAGTTTATCACAAAAAAGATTGAGATATGACTTGGGCTATCTACATCTGTTGCATAGGTGTACCAGATTCCAGTGTCTGCCCTTGTATTGTATAAATTTAGGAGCCTAACCTCAAAGTTTGACCCCACCGACCTGTTATGCAGATGCTGCCTAACTTTGAGGAACATGGCACTAAATCCTGTTTCACTTTACATCCCTAAATGGAATGTACGCAGGTGCTGGGATACTTGTCCAAATACTAAGGAGTCAACTTTGTACAACTTATGGTTGGGGTATAGATTCATAGATGTTAGGGCCAGAAGGGACCTCAATAGATCATTGAGTCTGACCTCCTGCATAGGAAGGAGAGAGTGCTGGGGTCAGATTACCCCAGCCAGATGCCTATCTAACCTCCTCTTGAAGACCCCCAGGGTAGGGGAAAACACCCCCTCCCTTGGGAGCCCATTCCAGATTCTGGCCACTCTAACTGTGAAGAAGTTCTTCCTAATGTCCAGTCTAATTTTGCTCTCTGCCAACTTATGGCCATTATTTCTTGTGACCCCCAGGGGCGCCTTGGTGAGTAGAGCCTCACCAATTCCCTTCTGCACCCCCATGATGAATTTATAGGCAGCCACAAGATCGCCTCTCAACCTTCTCTTGCGGAGGCTGAAGAGGTCCAGGTGCCCTAGTCTCTCCTCGTAGGGCTTGGCCTGCAAGCCCTTAACCATACAAGTGGCCCTTCTCTGGACCCTCTCCAGGTTATCCACATCCCTCTTGAAGTGTGGTGCCCAAAACTGGATGCAGTATTCCAACTATTGGTCTGACCAGTGCCCGATAGAGGGGAAGCATCACCTCCTTGCTTCTGTTTGTCATGCATCTGCTGATGCATGATAAAGTGCAGTTAGCTTTGCGATAAAGTGCAGATAGCTTTCTATGTGTCCAAATGTCAAGAAGACCAAGGTTCTAGGTTCCTCCTCACCCACAGTGAACTTGAACCTGCAGGTCCTGCTTTACCAAGGTGGTCTAATCACCAGACCAGAGACTAGGCATTGCCCAGGCACTTTTCCAGCCCTTCTTTTGAAGCTGGGGCCCAAGCTAGAGCCTAGCACCTCCTCTCAGCTTGGGCAGCAGCCATCTCTTCAAGCCTTTGGTTTGCTTTCCTCCTCCAGGATGCACATACCTCCTTCTCTCAGGTGCACAGCTAAACACTTTACCAGGAAACAGGGGATGCAGGTACAAACCCCTCTGTGTGAAGCACAACTGACTCTTCTGCTTCCTGGACAAGTACGTTAAACACTATGCTATTGGGCTAAACTATGGGAAGGTCATTGTCCTCCTCCTCCTCTCTACCCTTTCAGTCATGAATATTTTGTGACTAATTTAGGGAATCCTACCAGGATTTACAAACTAGGCAATTCTCTACTTGTTTTGTCACAGGTCTTTCTCAGTCAGACAAGATCTTGGAGCATCTAGAGATGCACAAAACTTGGCCAGCAGGCAGGGAGGAGAGGTGTGGTACCTACTTTTATCCACAGTCATCAGTACAGCTTCCCAAGGATGTAAGACACCCAGGTTCAATTTTCTTGTCAGCCTGAGGAGGGCCATACCTGTATTTCTCACCCCCAAGAGTGTCCTAACCATCAGTCCACTGGTTATTCTTATCTGTATTATTTTTGTTTTTGTCTGCCTGAGCAGAACTTTCAAATTTGAAGCCAATACGGTTGGCATAATAAATATTAATTGAAATACTTACATCCCCCCCCAGTGATTCCAACTCCATATCTCTAAGTACTGCATCCATTTCCCAAGAATAGCTCACCATTTGCAAAGGCAGAAATGCCCCCTTTATTTCCTTGTTACCTGCCATGGATGGTATAACCCCCTGACATAGTAAATGGCTGGATCTATTATTTCCTCTAAAAATATATAGGGCATGATGAAATTTCTTCAGCCATACTCTTACCTACTCTCAATAGGGCCACCCAGTCTTTGACCTCCCCTTTTGTGGGGTGGGGAGTTTACATTTTCAAAAAGAAATTTCACAATGTTCTGGGGATGATGTTGTACAAGTGGATAACTGAGCCCCTAGGGATGTTTATGTCGGACACACTGTGTTCATGGAATATGGAGGATGATCTTACAGTAATGACTGTGATTCTAAACAGATACTTTAACAAAGTGACATACTGGTGAAAGTTTAGTTGTCTTCAACAAAAAGCAAACAGGCTCCAGATCCGTTAGTGTATATTTCTACTGTAATTTATTAGGTTTATATTATCTTAGCAGCAACATCTGCTCTGCCAGAAGATGCTGTTTAACAACATTTAAATTATATGGAAACTATGGTGGTTCTGATTTACTGCTCTGAGCCAGGGTGACTGGCTAACCTTAACTATCAAAAACAAACACACAATTTAAAACTATTGATAGTTAAATTCCTTTGCATTGCTGAAATAAATAGTCAAGCTGCATCTACTTCTGTATGCAAAAGAAACAGGCTACCATTTCCAGTTTTAGAGGAGGGGTGATATTTCAGTCTCAGGCTAGAAGAGTTATCAGTTTTTAATAAGATTATCTAACCCTTTTATAGAAAGTAAACAACTAAACTCCACAAGAGAGAAACCGATAGTAGCAGTGGTAGACATCTGTCTGTCTTGCGAGACAACAGAATTATGCTGAGTGAGACATTATCTTGTTAAACGTAATCCGCACTTGAAAGATAAAGTGAAGCTGGAGGTTTAATGACGTGACCCCATATTTCAAAGTGAATGTATCGGATGACAGTAGCTGTCATTACAAACCTCTAGCATTGCCACTGGAAACTGTCACAGGGATCAATTTCATGGCCTGACCTTACAAGTGTAAGACAAAATAAAGTGACAATACTTTTGAAAAATAATTAGCATCAACATATTTTTTTGGATCACCAAATGGAAAACCACTGCTACTCTGCTATGACAAATTGGGTCTTTTCCTTACTTTTAAAATAGAAAGAGTGCTCTTCATTTATTTAGGAACACTACAAAGAGCTTGGTGAGATGCAAATTCACTTCTTAGGTGAATGTTTTCTTCATGGGCCCACTTCCATTATAACAAAATACAATGAAAGCTGAACCAGTCTGTAAAGGGGGTATAGCCTAACTCTGTGATGAAGTGTAGCATTAAACCCCTCTGCCTGCCTCTAGGGAATTCTGCGAAGCATTTTTCTGAAAGTGTAAGAAACCTCCTTTTTCTGTTGACAGAACTACACCAGTCTCGTGGGCCAGTGTCTACTAGGCATGATAGATCCCTAATTAATAAACTATACACTTTTATGGAAGGGATTTTCAGATGCTGGCTTAAGTCAACCCCAGCCAAAGTTGATGAAAATGTTATTACTGATTTCAATGGGAGTAGAATTAAAGCAACATTGAGCACTTATGAAAATATCATCCTTAATGTATTTAAGATGGTCAGGAATGGGTTACATCCAATCATTAAATGAATTAGACCAAAAAATTAAAGCAATTTCTCTGAAATAAATTAATTCTCTGAAAATTTTGTTCCCCAAAGAAAAAGCTTGTTTTATAAGTCTGAGATGAGAATAAAGTTGTCATATGCTTCTTTCACATTACATCAGGGAAAGAAATCAAACTCAAATTCTCAGGAGTTATATCTTCCAACACACAACAAGAATGGCACACAAGTTCATCATTCCTGCCCCACGACTTTTTCATTTTGCTTTCTCAAATGCAAGTGAATGGTATGAACAATTCAAAAGTCCCCCACCCCCATCAAAACCCCCCCAACAAAACAAAAAAACCACCTTAGGGCCTGTTTGTGGAAATGCTCTGTACACAGCATGCCAGCTGACTCCAATTTGAATTCTGAGAATTTACAGCAGTAGGCCTATTACTGCTTTCAGTCAAGTATTTCAAAATACTGCATTTCCACAAGTCACTACTTGACAGTAAAAGGTAGATGGGATAAAACAAATATGTATAAATACACACAGAGACAGAATAGTTCTGCACAATCAAGGGATGAAGGATCCAAAAGATCATTCCCATCTCTAACATCTAGAGATGTTCAATTTCATTAATAAGACAAAGAAGGCAACCTGTATGAGTAATTCAATATTTATCTGGTTACCTTGCATGGTTATGTTCTTTTGTCTTTTTGTCATGGAAATATTTACAACTGATATTGTTTTAAATACATTAGCTGGAGGTACCTGTTGAATGTCTACCCAGCTTCAACATGCGTAGAGCTCTGAGCAGCCTCAGCACCTGGATGATGCGCCCCACATTCTCCAACTCTTCGGAGCTCTCTCCATCACACAGACTTTCTACCAGCAGAGTGATGTAGAAGGGTAAAATGGCTAAGAGGTCTATGATGTTTGCAACACTCCTCAGGAAGCGGCACCGATCCCTTGTGCACAGGAATCTCAGTAAGAATTCCACTGTGAACCAGGCAATGCACAAATACTCTAGGGCATCCAGGAGCGGCGGTGCCAGCCAGCTCAGTTCCACTGAAATCAAGGCCATGTTGGCAATGGACACAACAACGAAGGCCATAGAAAGGGTACCGAAAGTCCTAGCAGCCACAGAAGAGCCAGGCTTTTCAAGAACCTCCCAAAGCCTCTGCCTCACATTGGGACAGAGGGTCCCAGAGAAGTCCTCTTCCTCATCTTGGGCATCAAGATCTTCCGTATCTTTCTTGATATCTAAGGTTTCACTCAGTTCCTTCCTCCTGAAGTATCTGTCCAAGGAACCCATCCCAAAGAACAAACCTTTAATGTTAATATTCACATTTTTTTTATTACTGTCTTTCACATTCATCATAAGTCGTATAGAACCAAGACGACATCTTAAAGGTATGGAGAAAGACACTGATTCAGTACAGGACTTGAACACCTACTTCAAATATATGGTTAAGTGCTTCACTGAACTGGGGCCATGCAACACATCCTTACTCAAGTTATGCTCCTGTATCACTCATGAAAGTTATGAAGGGGAGGGCCAGGGTATAAGAAAACATACCCGAGCGAATTGTACAAAATACGCTGGATTCCCTAAGGTCCTATTTACGAGTAATCTCAACATCTATGAGTTTAGTCATGATGATGGTGCATTCATCTGAGTAAGGCTGACAGAAGTAGGCATTTTTATGTGTTCAAATTAGCATTTATTAATTAAATATTTAAATGTTATTGCAATTGATTTTTTATTTGCAATGCTAAGAAGGAAAGTTCATGTTAAAAATTATGTTCTTTATATGAAAAGGTTTTGCCAAGAATATCTTTCTATAACCCAATGAAACATTTACACCCTGATTAAAGCATCTTTGTTAAAATAAGTATTATGGATTTTAAGCATATGCTTAAGTGGTCTGCTGCATCAAAGCCACATTTGTGGATTACTTCCTTCAAACCAAATAATTCCCAAAGAACACCATGCACCCCTTTCTTTCCTTCTTGCTGGCTGAAAGGCAAAACATTGACCAAGTGCTGTAAACAATCAAGTGTCACAGCAAAGGACACAGTGGTCTCTTCATCACTAGAAATCTTTACCTTGGGTTCTAGACTTATGGTGAAGGGGATACTCAGGCATCTAAAATTAATTTGTGTACCTAAATCCAACTTTTAGACTACCTAAACCACCTAAAGGTGAGCAAGCAGCTCAGCACAGTCTGGCTATCTCACATCAGACCCCCATTAGGATTCAAGAATAGCCATTTGCCATATCTCTTTCACAGGGTTTATTGCAGTATATAAATCTGGTCAGACTGCATTCAGCCTCCCCATCTCCAAAACAGAACGAGAAGAGGTATTCACCCTTTTAGCCAATAGCCCACTGGTTAGAGCACTCACTTAGGATATGGAAAACCAGGCTCAACTCTGTCCTCTGTTTATGGAGAACTGAACCCACCTCTCTCACAAGACTGCCCTAACCACCAGAACATGGGTATTGTGTGGTGGCTCTCTGTAATCAAAGCTGTTCCACTTGGTATAATATACAAAAATATTAATTATAACAAGGAATGAAACTCAGCTCTCCATTCTCCTGAGCGAGGGCCCTAACCATTAGACTAGAAACGAGGGATAGGCAAAGCCCGCAGCAGACTCCATTTCCCAGCAGCCCCTGCCCACGTCACTGCAGCTGGCTTCGATGGAGATCCCAGGAGCAGTGGGGCCATAACAGTGTCGGGGCCAGGTCTTCCATGGAGATGAGCCCAAGTCGCACAGGCAGGGTGCGTGGCTGGGCTGGGGCCTCCTTGGGGCTAGGGCCAGGAATCTGCGGCAGCAACAGTGTGGTCTGGGCCATGATCTGTTGCCTGCACACCCCGGGCAGGGGCGGAAACCACCTGCAAGGATGCAGGTAGGGGCTACTGGGAAATGAAGTCTGGCCACCAGCTAGATCCACCATTTTGCCCACTCCTGTTAGAAAGTCACATTCACATTCTCTAGTTGTACACTACGGGACCATATTTGGGTGGGTGAGAAAGGCACCAGCCTCGGGAGCTAACTTAGAAGACACCAGAATGGTGACCCCTGACCAGGGTGGCATCCATGGCCTGGCAACACGAGAAAGCCCGCTGTTCCCTTACCCCCTTCCCAGATTTCTATAGCAGAAGCCAGATGAAGGGACACTGCACTGTTGCAACAGCAGCAGGAAGAAATTCATAGCAGTAAGCTTGTTTTGGGAAAGTAATGTTTACCATTTTTAGAAATGACAAATAAGTCAGTAAACCAAAAATAAATGGGAAATTTAATCACAACAAATATAATGAAGAGATGAATTTAAAAAATCCTAGAATAAATAATTGCCACAGACTTCCCACCTCTCTGCCTTCTGCTCATATCTGTTTACCAGTTAAAATTCCCTCTCTTTCACCTCTTCCCTGCCTACGCATCCCCAGATATTTCCATTTACCTTGAATTTCCAGCATCAGCCTGCTGCTGCAACAGGACTTGATGCTGAAGTTGCCCGCTGCTTCTGTATTGGTCTGCCACAGTGCTATCCTGTCCCACTAGTCAAAAGTGACCTAATCCAGTCTTTTCCTTCCTCTCCCAATACCCACCGGTCTCTACAGCAGGAATTGATGCTGAATTCCTTCAGCCTAGAGCAAGTACATCTCCTTTTCTCCTTTATTACCCTTATGCCTTTCAAGAGGAGTTCATCCTGAACACATTCAGAACACATTACTAGAGCTCTCCTCTCCACAACCTGTCAGTTCTGCAGCAGAAGGTGATGCTGAGTGCATCCATCCTACACCTTTATTTTCCTCTCTTCCTCCATGCTCACCTGTCTCTGCAGCAGGAGTCGATGCTCAGTTCATCTAGCCCCCAGTACTGGATCTCTTGTAGGAAGGAGAGTGCACACAGCTGCTCCATCACATGCAATCTTCCTGTCTGGTAATAATTCAGGATGTAGAGAAATGCCTGTGAACTGCGGTCGAAGAAATACTCATTCTCTACCAGGTTGGCATCATCACAGAGCTCTAGGAGACCAGAAGCTACATCCCGGGCAGCAGACACAACTACAGCCAACTTGCCAAGCCGTGTGTCTGGATAGCAGGACAAAGTTTGCTGGGACATCAAAAAGCGGCTGCCTCCCACATTGATGGTGAAACAGTCCAAGGAGGGCACAACCTTCTGTAGCAAGGGCCCCGGCTCTTCCTCACTGCAGAAGACGCTGGACTCCAAGGAACCCAGTGATGTGGTATCCCTTTGCTCCTCTAGGGATGCTTGGGAAGAAAGGGACGTGCAGCAGGGAGGCGACTTCATCCTGCTGCTGCCAACAACAACCCAGTCTCTCCTAGGTTAAAAATACCATGAAGCTGAGGTGAACATAGTGCTGTCTGGGAAAGCAGGCCAAGCCAGAGTTGAGTGCATTCTCACAGGAAGTTTTCTTTACAACTTCAAGTGATACTACTCTTCCCATTTCCTTAGCACACAATGTCCATCTTGGAGTATAAAAAGGGACACAAGCAACTGACACTATATACATATGATTAATAATAAATGTTAATGATTCCTCAAATATTTCTACTTGGTGCTGCTTTTGCAGTCAACCAATGGCAATGACTGGTGCCATATGCCAGTAAGAACCTAGGGGGTCCCTTCCAATCTTATGGTTCTAGGACTAATCATTGAGGAACTTGACCCAATCGCACTGGGCGCACCCAGATGAATGCGCACGTGCCGTCTGTGGCGCTGCAAGCCGCAAGCAGTGAACATACAGCTGTTTGCAGCGCAATGCCAAAATCTGATACCAGGATTAAAAAAAAACCCACTGCAAAGAGTGGCGTGGTGCACGTGGCAGCAGTATGCGTTGCCAGAAATGGAGCCTGGCCATCCAGAGCCATGCTCTGGGTGCTGCCCACGGTCTGTGTGGCAAGATAAGTGCCACTGTGACCCTGGACCTGCTGGGACCAGCCTCCCCTACCCCACCTGGACAATCTGGCCGGTGCCAGAGGGCACGTGCAGGGGCATGCCCCGTGGCACAAAGCAGCACAAATAGCTGCTGCTTTCTGTGTCCCTGGAAACACACATCTCTGCACGTGGGGATGTGCCCACTGGAGGCAAATAAACCCCTCTCTCACTGCCATTAGCCCTAACCCTTTAAAATGAGACCCTACGAGCTGAAGGGCACCACGCTGCATGCCAGGGGAATGAATGTGTGGCTACCTATTCTTATCACTAAAGTTGTCTCCTTTAGCCAGAGCCCGTCTCTATGCCCATCCTCTTAAAAACTCTCCAGGTCTGGAGCAGGTGAGCAGCGCGGGCCTGGCGGACACTAACTCCCGGCGGCGGGAGCAGC